GAGCGGAGAGGAATCTTAAATCCCTAGGAATTTAACTAACTAAATATGTGGAAGAACTCTATGATGAAAACTACAAATCATAGATAGAAGAAAGAAATAGAAGAAGACATTGAAAAGTAGAGAAACTTGCCATGTCCTGGATTGGCAGGATCAATATCATCAAAACGTCCATATTACCAAAAGTAATATATAAATTCAACACAGTCCCAATCAAAATCTCAACAATATTCTTAGAGATAGAAAAAAAAGATACTAAAGTTCATCTGAAAACACAAGAAACCATGAGTAGCCAAAGCTATCTTGGAGAATAGAAATCAAGCTGGAGGAATCACAATTCCAGACCTCAAGACATGCTACTGAACAGTGATCATCAAAATAGTCTAGTACTGGTACGGAAACAGAGAAGATAAATGGAATAGAATAGAAACACCAGAATGGAGCCCACAAATGCATAGCCAGCACTTCTTTGACAAAACAAACAAACAAAAAACAAACAAACAAAAAAAACTGAAAATAATCCAGGGGAAAAGCCTGCTTTCTTCAACAAATGGTTTTGGACAACTGGATGGCAGCTTGTAGAATTAAGAAGCAAGACCCTTACCTGTCACATAATACAAAAATCAGCTCTAAACAGATCAAAGACCTAAATCTACAACTAGAAACCATCAGACTATTAAAGGAAAGCACTCTACAAGAACTAGGAATGGGGAAAGACTTCTTGGAAAAGACACCAAAAGCCCAAGCAGGCAAAGATAAAATGAACAAATGTAATACATCAAACTAAAAAGCTTCTGTAGAGCAAAGGGAACAATTAACAAAGTGAAGAAGAAGCCAATAGAATGTGAGAAAACCTTTGCGCACTACACAACTGATAAGGGACTAATATCCAGGATTTAGAAAGAGCTTCAGAAATCCAAAAACAGTATTAAAAAAACAAAACAAAACAAACAAAAAAAAAACTGTGAAAAAATGGATGAAGAAATTGAACATTTTTCAAAAGGATTAGATTCTTAGGCTTACTAGCTGTCAGGGAGATAGAAATGAAAACCACACTGCAGTTAAGTTCCACCTAACTCCAGTGAGGTTGGCCAACATTCAGAACTCAACAACACTTGCTGGTGTGGATGTGGGGAGAAAAATACCCTCCTTCACTGCTGGTGGGAGTGTAGGCTAGTACAACCATTATGGAAATCAGTATGGAGAGTACTTAGAGAACTGCAAATAAACTTGCTATATGACCCAGCTATCCTGCTTCTAGAAATATATCCAAAGGAAATGAAAGCTGCATATGAGAAGGGGATCTGTAATCGTATATTTACAGCAGTACAAAGTACAGTAGTAAAGACATGGAAACAATCCAGTTGCCCATCCAAAGAGGAGTAGTTAAACAAACTATGGTACATCTCCATGGAATATTACTCAGCCATTAAAAAGAATGAAATTATACCATTTCCAACTATATGGTTCCAACTAGAGACTATTATGCTCAGTGAAATGAGTCAATCCCAAAAGGACAAATATCATATGTTCTCTCTGATATAAGGCAGCAATCATGCAAATTGTAAGGTCAATAACCCATTCCATACTGTTTTTTTTTTATGCATTCCATGTGTTTTTATGTTTTTGTTTTCATTTTCATTTTTCCCAAATAGTTTTTGTCTTTTCAAAATCATTGCTGGCTCATGGAATGTATGGTGACATCATTTTCCCATGAAGCTTTTGTGTTTTCTTTACCCATGTTACTCAGTCAGTGGCACATTTTTCGACTCCATGGTACTGTAAATTTTGTTGTTTTAACTTCATACCTGTTGTTGACTTTGTTTTGTGGCTTCCCATTGAAAGGAATGTGTGCTTACAGCAAAATAGAGACTATCATATTCAGATGTGAAGATACAATGCAATATGCATCCCTACTTTCAAATCAGAGAAGGACTTCTAATGAAACTGTTGGATGTATCTAGACAATGGAATCCTGGACTGTCTGACATTGTCCTTAGCAGCAATGTCATGGCACTCTTAAATAACAGACTAATGGACTTGTGACTGCTTATGAAAGACTATACTATTGTAATAGTATAGGGAAAATTAGTCAGGGGGTAGGAATTTAGGATGGGAATGGAGAAATCCCAGACCCTAAGGAATTGTACCATAAAATTCAAAATTAAAAAAAAAAAATTTAGTAAAAAAAGTGTGGTGGTACCAGTCAAACTGCTTCTTACAATGCTATCATCCCATAATGATGTACCAATTCAGATCCCAGTTGCTCTACTTCCCATGCAGCTCCCTGCTTATGTACCTGAGAGATACAACAGCGGAGGATAGCTCAGGTACTTGGTACTGCCACACATGTAAGAGACTCAGTTTGATTCAGCCAGGTTTTCATTAATGAACCAGTTGATGGAAAATAGATCTCTCCCTGTCAATTTTTTTTTTCAAAATGTGTATGAGTATAAACTAGTAATAACTTGAAATTCATAACACAATTTTCAAAAGCACTTAAAATGTGAAATTTAAAAGTAAATGTAATAAAATACAGCAGGATACATATTCTGAAATCTAGAAAGCCTTTGTTAAGAACAAATGCAAACAAATTTGAAGAAAATGAAAACTTGGTTGTACAGCTTCAAAAGGTTTATTATTTTTATTTCAAAGTCAGATATGTACAAAGGGGAGAGACAGAGAGAAATATCTTCTGTCCATGGATTCACTCCCCAAGTGACCACAATGGCTGGTGCTGCACCAATCCAAAGCCAGGAGACCAGATCCTCTTCCACATCTCCCACATGGGTGCAGGGCCCCAAGGCTGCCATCCTCGACTAATTTCCCAGGTCACAAGCAGGAAGCTGGATGGGAAGCGGGGCTGCCAGGATTAGAACCGGCATCCATATGGGATCCTGGCACATTCAAGGCGAGGACTTTAGCCATTAGGTCACGGCGCCAGGCCCTGGTTCAACATTTTATATGCAAATGCTATGGACCCAGAATGGCCCAAAGAATTTTCAAAAACAAAAACAGAATTTGAGGATTTAAACACTTGAATGTCAAAAACTTGTATAGAGTTGCAATAATCCCAGAAGAAACAGAAGCCCTTTAGACACCTGTACATGTATTGAGTCCCTGGGTGTTAATGTGCCTATGAAATCCTATGGGAGATGAGCAGTTTTTCAACAAATGGTGCTGGAACTGGTTGTTCATATGGAATACAATGATCTCTCACCCTCACCCTACAAATTAATTGAAATGATTTTTAGACCAAATTTTCAGTGATGAATTATTCTCCATGCTATGCTATGCTGTTCCTGTCCCCTCACACCAAGGGAGCCCCATTTGGATGTATTTCCCCTGAGAACTGAACTGGCAATTACCCCCTCTCCCTGTAAGAATTCTTTTTAGTCAAAATGTGAGGGGAAATGGGAATCTCCAAGATTACAGGGACTTGCTTGTGAAGTGACTGTCCCAAGAGAAATCTGAAAGACTCTTACAAGGAGAGATTGGTTTCTTCAGATAGGAGAGCTTTGTGAAGATTTGGGATTTCAAGTTTGTCTTTCTTGAACCGAACATCTTGATCTCAGGGTCCTATTCTTAGTGCTGTAACAGAATAAAAGTCTTGAAAAGGTGGTGCTTTTTGCTGGTATTGTTACTCCACAACCGGTACCATTAGATTCAGGAGCCTGACACAGCTCTTTAGTAGGTGTTCTATAGCTGCCCCTGCTTAAGGGATTCTTTTGAAACTACAGTAGAAGCCTTCTGTCAGGAGTTCAAGTTCAAGGTCTTATACTTGGCTTCTCCCCTCCCCCTATACAAGGCTCTCTAATGCAATCAGAAACCCACAATCTTTCATAGTCTCCACTGTCACGTACTGTTCCTTGACCACCCCTAGGCCACCACTGGTGACCATTAGAATAATCTTGTTGCCAGTGCATGCCTCAAACTCTCAAGAGTGGACCTGCTCACGGGTTGTCATGCCTTGTGTCTACTCAAGTCCAATCTGACTGAGGAAGGTTCAATAGACTTGAATGGGTTAAGGGAATCCATGAGACATTGGAATACCTGGAGATTAGCAACACAGAAAGCCACTGTCACTGCAAGGAGAGAAAATAAGACTCCTGCTCAGGGAGCACTGGACGTGGCAGGCAGAGCCCCTAAAGGTGCAATGTTGGCTGGTTGGAGCTGGAGCTCCTACCGGGGGTTTCAGTGTTGGGGGCGTTTAGGGGGCCAACCAGCAGGACAAAGCCATTCCTGTCTCTCACTTGGCAATTCTCTGCCTCCTAAATAAGTCATTTATGAAAAAGATTTATTTTTATTGGGAAGATCTACAGAGAAGTAATTTTCAAAGTGTTAATCTCTGCCACATGAAATATTAAGTGGTGATGTGTCATTTCGTTTGCTGTAGCTGCCAAAAGATGTGGCCTTCGCAGTTCATGCTTATGTAACATTTCTCACGTAAGTTCTAGAATGCAGTCTGGAGTGATTTCTCTTGCTGAAATCTCCGACCGTTCCTGACATTTTGTGTTACAAACGTTAGAAAAATCTACACATAGCTTCTCAGACCGCTTTCCATCAGCCCTGTCAAAACTCCTGAGTCATGGGAGACTACACAAGTGCGGGTCCTCGGCGGTCTTTGCCCCCAAACTAAGGCAAAGTGTGCAAGTTGGAGGGTCAATTAGATTTGAGGGGTAATGGTGTCCACGCGGCCACCTTGTGCAGGCTCGGATGCGCCGGTTCGCGTGGAGCAAGACAACTCTCACTATCTCTTACAGCAACTCCGGCCCTCAGGAGGCCGGGGCGCTTTCGGAAATCCCGTCAGTGCCCAACCCTCCTCGGACGGGACGTTCGCGTTCCCGGGCCTCAGCCGCCTCAGGCAGCGCACCCCGGCCCCGCTGCTCGGCGATCCATTGCTCTCCCCGCGGGGCAGCAGCGGCCCTCCCTCGGTCACGCCCCGCGGCGGCCCCTTGGCTGGCCTCCGCCCACACGCTCCTTCCTCGGGTCGCGCCAGGCGGAGGCGCGGCTGCCCGAGCGCCGGAGCCCAGACGTGGCTCCCGGGCGGAAGAAACAATGTTGGATTTCGCCATCTTCGCCGTCACCTTCTTGCTGGCGTTGGTGGGAGCCGTGCTCTACCTCTACCCGGTAACTGCCTGCGCGGCCCTCAGGGGGCTCCGGCCGCCTGCCGCCTCGGCCTGCCCTTCGCCCCGGGCTCGCCGCGGGCCCCGAGGGGGCGGGCCTGAGGGGACACGGCCGCCGCCGGCGGGGCCACGTGAACGGCTGGCGCGGCGCCGGGTGCTGCCGCGGGCGGGTTCGGTCTTCTGGCCGGCTTCAGGCGCGGACTGGGCTATGGCAAGGCGCCTTCCAAGTTACTTGAGGTGGCTTTTTGCCCAGAAGTCGCCCTCGGCCACACCCGTATTCCGTTGGCTCCTACGTCGGGGAGGAGACACGCCTGCTGTGGTCTGCTTAGTGACTCCTGGGTGTTGCAGTCAGGCGCCATGGCACTTAGGGGGCTTCTGTCCCAGTGTCTCCTGCCTTTCTCCGCACCAGCCTGCTGCGAGGGTGGGGAGGTGGAGAGAGAAAAGTTTTGGATATTCTGGGCTTGTTCATTTTAAAGGAGGCTGAGCAAGAAGTAAGGGTTCGTTGGAGCCGAGACCTCTAGAGGCTGAAGGTGCACGCGGTTCAGATCAGTCTGGGAGAGGAAGGATGCAGGCGCAGGGCACAGCAAATGCCAACCATCAGAAGGAAACTTGCTTCCCCGGGGGCCTGCAAACAGACCAAGGGAGAGACCAGTGGGCCCGAAAGCCAGCGGGTTGGGGATGAAGGACGCAGTCTAAATGACCTGTGAGAGGCTGAATGACACGTTAAGGGAATTACAGTTGAATTTTCTATGATTTGTAAAGAACAGCCGGTCTGGTGTATTAATAGACTAAGATGTTTGAGGTAGTGGTTGCGACCATTTGGAATACCTATGCCCCAAATGGGTTCTGGTACCTCTTCAAATTCTAGGCAGTGATGATGGATCAGGCTGGTGGGTCTCTGCCTGCCCTGTGAGATAGGGTTCCCTTCTCCTGGCTTCCAACTGGCTCAGCCCCTAGCTGTTGGAGCAAGTTGGAGAGCAAACCGGCTCATAGGAGGCTCCTCTCTGCCTAGACTTTTTCTTGTGTGTGTGAAGACACAGCCAATGGGATTCCCCAATTGCCGTGTGTGCAATATGAGACAGACATCAAGGAAAACATCAAAAAAAAATTCTTTTTGCCCAACAGATAAAAGCATTGACTACAAAGAACACTGGAGATTTAGTTATGTGCTTTTGTGTAGAGTTATTTGGGGGATAATTAGTAGAGATTAGAAGATGGTTTGGGGCCTGCCAGATTTGAGATGTCAGATATTCAAGTGAATATTAGGAAGGTAATTGGGTATGTACATCAAGTTCAAAAGGAAAGTCTAAGCTGGAGATAGTAATCAGGAGCTCTCTCAGTGTATGCATGGCATTTAAAGCATGCTGCAGTCTTCTAGAAAAATCAAATACTGGACAGAAGAAATGCAAGATCCAAATCTTGTACTCTGCAATATTTAAAGGTGAGGCACAGTAGCCAATGAAGGAAGCTAAGAAGGAGCAGCTAGCTCCATGGAAGGAAGACAGTTGTGTTTAAAAATGTACTTATTTTATTTGAAAGGAAGAGAAAGAGAATGTGAAGGCCTAGTCACTCCCTAAATGCATGCAGCAGCTGGAGCTCTGCCAGACTAAAGCTGGGGATGTCTTTAACCAACCTAGATCTTCCTTAGACGGGGAGAGGGAACCAACCACTCGAGTCACCTGCTGCCTCTTGGGGTGCACAGAAACAGAGAGCTGGAATTTGGAGCAGAGTAAGAACTCCCATGTGGGACTCCATTATGGGATGTGGGCATCCCAAGGGTGTTTCAGGTGCTATGCCAAACGCCCACCCTGTTTAGAAGAATTGGCTAAGTCAGATGCTGCGGACTTGTCATGGAAGATAGGTCTGAGAGTTGAGTAGCAATGTTGAGTGGCTGTCAGTGGAATGTTGTGATAAACAGAAGGTGGGTTTGGAGTAGAATTATCAAGTGTAGATAACTCTTCAAAGGGGGCTCCAACTAGGGAGTGAAATAAGAGAAGGTGAATTGTTTAAGGTGGGAGAAAGGACCAATGTTGTGTTAATGTGCTGGTCAGGGCTGCCAAGTTCTGAGGAAAAAATTGGCTTGTAAGAAATAAAATTATTGGAGCCATTATTTTTTTCTCTCTTTTTTAAAAATATATATTTATTTTATTACAAAATCAGATATACAGAGAGAGGAAGAGATAGAGAGGAAGATCTTCTGTCTGATGATTTACTCCCCAAGTGAGTGCAACGGCCGGTGCTGTGCTGATCCGAAGCCAGGATCCAGGAACCTCTTCCAGGTCTCTCACACGGGTGCAGGGTCCCAAAGCTTTGGGCTGTCCTCTACTGCTTTCCCAGGCCATAAGCAGGGAGCTAAATGGGAAGTAGAGCTGCTGGGATTAGAGCCAGCGTCCATATGGGATCCTGGTGCGTTCAAGGCAAGGACTTTAGCCACTAGGCCATGCTGCCGGGCCCTCTCTTTTTTATTTTTTACTCATTTACTTGGAAGGCAGAATTACAAAACAAGAGGGAGAGATCTTCCGTTCACTAGTTTACTCCCCAAATGGCCACAAATGGCCAGGGTTGGGCCAAGTTGAAGCCAGTAGTTTCTTTTGGGTCAGCCACGTGAGTGCAGGAGCCCAAATGCTTGGGGTATCTTCTGCTTTCCCAGGCACATTGGGAGCAAACTGGATGGGAAGTGAAGCAGCCCGGGGAAAGCAGCATAAGATGTCCTAAGCCTTGAGTCCATCAGCCTGTCAGTGAACCACTCCTCTAACAGTGTCACTCTTGAACGTGGTAAAGTTGTTCCCCACTAGTGTTTCTTACTCCCTCTCCCGTTCTCTTTGCATAGTTCTTTACTTGCATTTTGCTTAGATTCAGGAGGAAAAGAAAATAGATGACTCACCAGTTTACCGTATCTGAAAAGAAATCATGAGAATTGTTCAGCCAGTAATAATTTTAGCCTCGTCTAATCTTCCGCCCTCCAGCACCAGCATCCCATGTGGGCGCTGGTTCTACTCCCACTGCTCCACTTGCAATTTTACTCCCTGCTGTGGCCTAAGAAAGCAGTGGAGGATGGTCCAAAGCCTTCGGCTCCTGGGCCCATCAGAAACCTGGAAGAAGTTCCTGGCTCCTAACTTCAGTTCAGCTCAGCTCTGGCTGTTGGGGCCATTTGAGGAGTGAACCAGCGGGTAGAAGATCTCTCTAGCCGTAAATCTGCCTTTCAAATGAAAATAAATAAATCTTAAAAAAATAAAGCAATAGGCCTGGTGTGATGGCTTAGTGGCTGGGGTCCTCACCTATGTATGCTCTGGGATCCCATATGTTCGCTGCTTTTAGTCCTGGTGGCCTGCTTCCCATCCAGCTCCCTGCTTGTGGCCTGGGAAAGCAGTTGAGGATGGCTCAAAGTCTTGGGACCCTGCACCCATGTGAGAGACCTGGAAGAAGCTCCTGGCTCCTGGCTTTGGATCACCTCAGCTCTGGCCATTGTGGCCATTTGGGGAATGAACCAGCAGATAGATCTTTCTCTGTAAATCTGACTTTCCAATAAAAATAAATAAATCTTTACAAAAATAGGGGCCCGGTGCCGTGGCCTAGCAGCTAAAGTCCTCACCTTGAACGCGCCAGGATCCCATATGGGCACCAGTTCTAATCCTGGCAGCTCCACTTCCCATTCAGCTCCCTGCTTGTGGCCTGGGAAAACAGTCGAGGACGGCCCAATGCTTTGGGACCCTGCACCCATGTGGGAGACCCGGAAGAGGTTCCTGGTTCCCGGCTTTGGATTGGCGAAGTACCTGCCATTGCTCTCACTTGGGGAGTGCATCATCGGAGGGAAGATCTTCCTCTCTGTCTCTCCTCCTCTCTGTATATCTGACTTTGTAATAAACATAAATAAATCTTAAAATAAATAAATAAATCCGCTTAAAATGTAATACTTTTTGCCTAGAAAATAAAAGAGATTTTTATACCATTGACTCTGTTTTTGAAATGCGGGGTACTCCATACTTTTCCCAGTGTTTTTTTTTAAGATTTATTTTTATTATTTTTTTATTGGAAAGGCGGCTATACAGAGAGGAGAGACAGAGAGGAAGATCTTCCGTCCGATGATTCACTCCCTAAGTGAGCGCAACGGCCGATGCCAGGAGCCTCTTCTGGGTCTCTCACACGGGTGCAGGGTCCCAAAGCTTTGGGCTGTCCTCGACTGCTTTCCCGGGCCACAGGCAGGGAGCTATTTCCCAGTATTTGTAATGGATAACATAACTATGTATAAGATAAAATTATGCATTGTAATTTTCATTGTGATAAGTTAAAGACAGATTGCAAACTTTTGCCTAGGTATGAATTTGTAATATTTAGTATAAAATATACAACTCTTCAGTTAATATAATTGATCCATATTCTTTTAGGGATACATACTCCAAAGGTAGAAAACAAGAGGAACAAAGTAAGATTGCACTAAGATTTTCCTAGCACTGCTTTTAATAAAAAAGCAAGTAGCCCAGATGTATTACATGAATTTAGTGGGAAAATTATTAAGTAATTCTGATGAAATGTCTAAATAAGTAAAATTTCACTTATATATAAATTAATGTTAAATAGAGAAAGGACAGAATATCAAAGATAAAACTCTGATTAGTAATAGTCAAAATCATTAATAAAATTTACTACCAGTTCTGAAATTGAGCATTTTAGGTTTTATGATTGCTGTAAAATTTAAAAAGTAAGCAACAACAACTTAAGACCCCAGCAAATATAAGGTAATAGAAATTAAAATTCCTTAACATTGTCGCAGTTTATTCCTTAGATGTTACATTTTAGCAGTTTGCTATAAATCCAGATATCTTAATGAGCATTCAGTGCTGGTAACAGATACTTTTCCAAAGCAAAAGATGAACATAATTGTCTCAGTTGGTTTGGGCTACTATAACAAAAATAACAAGTGGAGTTGCTTTTAAATATAAATTTGTTTCTTCCCATTCTGCGAGCTAGGCACTGAGTGTCTGAAGAGGGCACACTTCCTGGCTCACGGATGGCATCTTCTTGCATGGTGGAAGGAGCAAACAAGTTCCTTTCTGCCACTTATAATACCCAATTCGGATGGACTGTTCCCTACTGACGTAATCACGCAAAAGTTCCACCTATTATTCCCATCAATAAAGGATTAAATCTTGATGTGAATTTTTGGGAACATAGAAATAGTGTGTTAGCAAATTGAAAAGAGTGTAATTTGGGGGAGGGAGGAGGAATGAAGCTATTATAAGCTTTGACACTGAATTTTTTTTGCAATCTGAGCAAGTTGAGGTACAAATATAGAATCAGAGCAAAGAAAGATATGCTTGTTATGTACTAGTTGTAGAATGAATATTAAATTCAAACACCTTAGTGTAATTGACATAGAAGAATATTACGACAGATTTTTTCCATGTAAAGGACTCATGTTTAAAAATATTTTAATATAGAAATAATCCCTTAAAGTCAATTAAATTGGAAATCTGTTGTAATCTATTGTTTAAAATGTGAAATTGCCCTGGTACAACACATCTACTCTGCTGGGTGTTTGCAGAGCTGCAGCCTATACTGGTATACTCAGGTTCCCTTCCTGCTTGCAACTCCTTGCTAAAGCGTCTCTTGGAGGTGATCATTACTCAGGTAATGGGTTTTCAGCACCCACATGGAAGTCTTGGGTTGTGCTCCTGGCTCCTGATTTCTCTCTAGCCCGATCTCAGCGTTTACGAATGTTTGTGGAGTGAGCCAACAATTGAGAATGTTCTCTGTGTCTCAAATAAAACTTAAAAGCACTTCTGATTTTTTAAATTTTATTTTATGTATTTATTTTTTTAAAGATTTTTTTTATTATTATTACAAAGTCAGATACACAGAGAGGAGGAGAGATAGAGAGGAAGATCCTCCGTCCATAGACTCACTCCCCAAGTGAGCGCAGTGGTTGGAGCTGAGCCAATCCGAAGCCAGGAGCCTTTTCTGGGCCTCCCATGCGGGTGCAGGGTTGCAAGGTTTTGGGCCATCCTCAGCTGTTTTCCCAAGCCACATGCAGGGAGCTGGATGGGAAGTGGAGCCTCTGAGATTAGAACCGGCGCCCATATGGGATCCCCATATGGGAGGGGACTTTAGCCACCAGGCCATACCGCCGGGCCCCAAAACACACTTCTGATTTAAAGGACATATGATGTTTCATTATGCTAAACTACTTTTATATTTTTCCTTAAGGCTTCCAGACAAGCTGCAGGAATTCCAGGGCTTACTCCAACTGCAGAAAAGTGAGTCATTGTTTACAGTTTTTCTAATCAAGTACAGACATTTTTGCTATCAAAACTAGTAGGGACCAACATTGTAGTGTACAAGTTGGCTACATTGGTATCCCATACGAGAGTGCTGGTTCATGTCCTGGTTGCTCCCCTTTGATCCAGTGTCCTGTTACTACTCCTGGGAAGGAAGCAGATGATAACTCAGGTTCTTGGAGCCCCTGCCATCCCTTGGATGGAGTGCCTGGTTCTGGCTTTGACCTTGCCCAGCTATGGCTGTTGAGGCCATTTGGGTAGAGAACCAGCATTTGAAAGCTGTCTCTCTTATTTTCTCTTGCTTGCTCTCTAGCACTTTTCTTTTCTAATAAATACATATTTTAAGATATAATGACTTAACTGAAACAAAAGTTTTTGTTTTGAAGAACAACACCATATATTTAGATTATCTATCTTATTTAGTTCCTTTGTTTATTCTCAGTTTATTTCTGGCATACTACCTAACTTTTCTTAATTTTTTTATAAGATCTCTTTGTTTATTTGAAAGACAGAATTATAAAGAGACAGAGAGGGGGAAATATTCCATCTACTGGATCACTGCCTAAAAGGCTGTAGCAGCTGGGAATGTCTAGGCTGAAACTAGGATCCTGGAACTCCATTTGGATATCCATGGGGGTGCTGGTGGCTCAGGTGGTTCAGCTGTCTTTTACTGCCTTCCCAGGTGCACTAGCAGAGAGCTAGATCAAAGGTGGAAAAGGCAGGACTCGAACTTGTGTTCACATTGGATGCCAGAGTTCAAGATGTGTGTTAACCACTGTACTACAATGATGGCCCTTTCCTAAACGTTTTAAGAACAGAGAAGGGAGGGATTTATAAGTCCAACCCTTGCTTGTTTTCATTTTTTGCTTCCCTTGGAGACTGTTAAAAACAAAATTAAGATGAAAGAAAAGAAGACAAAAATAGCTGTAGCTGATTGGGGATTTTCCTTGGCCTGTAATTATGTTTATTGCTATCTCAGAATAAGTTGGGTAGTTTCTGTATCTGAGTCAAATGTAGTTTGTGTAGCTTTGTGTAGTGTTGTGATTTCTCAAAATGTCAGACAAACCCAGGTTGGGCATATGACACAGTGATTAAGCCATCATTTGGGATACTTGTATCCCATGACTGAATATGTAAGTTTGACACCTAGCTCCACTTTGGAGTCTTTATTCCTGTTAACTTGTACCCTGGGAAAGCAGGGATGCTGGCTCAAGTGATTGTGTCCCTGCTGCAACATGGGAGACCTGGATTGAGTTCTGACCCCTGGGCTTGAGCTGGCTCAGCCAAGGCCAAATGATATTATGGGCATTTGGGGAGCAAAGAAGTACAGAAGATCCCCATCTCGGTCTGTCACTGTTTTTCAGAATTGAAATTAAATAAACAAAGATATCAGACAGATCATTTGTAAATATGACCCCACAACATAGTGAGAAGGCATATGTAGTTGAACTTTGGATTTTGCCATAAGTCGAGTTTCTCAACCATTGTGTTCATCATTAAGACTGTTAATTCAAAGTAAGCCATTGATTTTCCAGTTTTTCTAATTTGTGTTAATGATTTGTCAAATGTGTATCTTTTACCAGAGATGGTAACCTCCCAGATATTGTGAACAGTGGAAGTTTGCATGAGTTCCTGGTTAATTTGCATGAGAGGTTTGGGCCTGTGGTTTCTTTCTGGTTTGGCAGTCGGCTTGTGGTCAGTTTGGGCACCGTGGATGTGCTAAAGCAGCACATAAACCCCAACAAGACATGTAAGTCTCATCTTCTTACTGTTCTGACCCCTATTTCTGAAAAATAAAATAAATAAAGAATCGTACATTGTTCAGTACATGTTCTTTTTTGTTGTTGTTGTTCAGTATGTTACTGCTAGGGATGTGCTAGTGTATTTTTTATTTATTACCTCAATTAAGACATTATAAAATAATTATATGTTTAATATATAGGTATACACAAAAAAATCCCAATGTAATTTCCCGCAGGGCTCTTTTGGGAACCTGAAAACATACTTTCCCCAGTATGGTTGAAGAAGTAAATAAATATATGTAAACTTAAAGAAAAATCTAGAAGAGATACTACTGAGGCAAATACTTTTAAAAATATTTATTATTTATTTGAAATGCAGAGTTTCAGAGAGGGAGAGAAAGAGATCTTCTGGCTGTTAGTTCATTTTGCAAATGGTTGCAGTGGCCAGAGTTGAGGCAGTCTGAAGCCTGGAGCCACGAGATTCTTCTGGCTCTCCCACATGGGAATGCAGGGGCCATCTTCCACTTGCTTATTCAGTTGCATTACCAGGGAGCTGAATCAGAAGTGTTGTACCAGCAACTTTAATTGGCACCCAAATGGGCACTATACCATAAAACCAACCCTGTTTGGGATATGTTTGTAATAACAGTTCAGACATTATATATTTGATACAGCTGGATTAATTTTAAGTCTTATACTATGATAGGACTAGAGAGATTGATGAAATGGAATAGATTGTTTAGCTGACAAATCAAGGATATGTATAAAAGATAGTGTTTTGTGGCAAAGAATAAAGGTGCAATTAATATTTTTGGAAAAATAGTGAGATTTTTGGAAAAATAAATCTCAATACCTCCCTTATTCTTTTTTTTTTTTAATATTTATTTATTTATTGGAAAGTCAGATATACGGAGAGGAGGAGAGACAGAGAAGAAGATCTTTCATCCGATGATTCACTCCCCAAGTGAGTGCAACAGCCGATGCTATGCCGATCCAAAGCCAGGAGCCAGGAACTTCTTTCCAGGTCTCCCCCATGGGTGCAGGGTCCCAAGGCTTTGGGACTGCTTTCCCGGGACACAAGCAGAGAGCTGGATGGGAAGTGGAGCGGCCGGGATTAGAACCGGTGCCCATATGGGATCCCGGTGCTTTCAAGGCAAGGACTTTAGCTGCTAGGCCACAGCGCCAGGCCCCATGCCTTATTCTTTATATAAAAATAGGGCCCGGCGCGATGGCGCAAGTGGTTAAGCCTCGCCTTGCACGCCCGGGATCCCATATGGGCGCCGGTTCTAATCCCGGAAGCCCCGCTTCCCATCCAGCTCCCTGCCTGTGAACCCAGGAAAGCACCTGAGGATGGCCCAAAGCTTTGGGAACCTGCACCTGTGTGGGAGACCCGGAAGAGGCTCCTGGCTTCGGATCGGCATAGCATCAACCATTGTGCTCACTTGGGGAGTGAATCATTGGATGGAAGATCTTCCTCTCTGTCTCTCCTCTCTGTATAGCCAGCCGCCTTTCCAATAAAAATAAAATAAATCTTTAAAAAAAAATAAATTGCAAATGATTAAAAGAAGAAATAATTAAAACCCATTCAGTTGTTATTATTGTAATTATTTTGTCTAGAGGTCATGTAGATAAACCTTTCCTTCAGTGACCCAAGGTTTAGAAGCTGTATAACCCAAGATGGCAAAATCTATCTATGGAAAAATAGGAATTTTAGTATAATTTAAAAACAGCTTGGTATAGGGTAGTAGAAGTGTTGGCCACCTGTTACTAACAGAATCTGTAATAATTGTGATGGGGCTGTGACATGGTGTAGCAGCTAAGCCCCCACTGTGGCAGCAGCATCCTACACGGACATTAATTCGTGCCCAGGCTGTTGCACTTCTTGTCTAGCTTCCTGCTGATGTGCCCGGGAAAGCAGAGGGGAATGGCCCAAAGCCTTGGAACCTTGCAGCCACTTGGCAGATCTGGAAGAAGCTCCTGCTTCTTGCTTTGGATCAGCTCAGCTGTGGTCGTTGTGGCCACTTGGGGAGTAACCAGGGAAATGAAAATCTCTCTGTAATTCTGCCTTTCAAATAAAAAAAGGAACTTTAGAAATACACTTGATTGCTATACTGCTGTAAATAAAGAAACCATGAAAGACGAGAAAAGGGAAGCTATTTGCTCCCTGTACATGTAAGTATAGGTATAGCAACTTCAGAAAGTAATAAGGAAAATAATATCCTTATAGAAAATAATGGAGAAACAGTGTAAGTAAGAAATACAGATTGCCAGTAAGCAAATGAAAAGATTGGTGTCTCATTAATAATCAGTTGGATACAAATAGAAATGAGATTTTTATGTGTAACTAGAAGAGATGAAAAATATTGCAAAATTGATTGATGATGAGAGATTATGGAAACATGGAGTATAAATGTCAAACAAAATTTACATAGACAATTTTGATAATGACCTTTCACTTAGTAACAACATCTTAAGGAATTTATCTGTAAGTTGATAATCACATAAGTGAGAAAAGTTAAACAACTTAAATATGTATCAATTGCTGAATAAAATACTTTTAGGCCTCAATGATCCGATTTTTTAATGTGTGAAATACGTAAAATATATTAAAATTACTTGTAGCAATATAAAATTGCAGTCATTTTATGTTAGCACTATTCTAAGCCCTATGCAAATATTAACTTGCTTACTCCTCATAGCAACTGTAGATATTATGTATCTTGATTTTGCAAAAGAAAGCTGTGGTCTGGACAGGGTAGTACAAGTCACTGCACAGGGTCACAAGTGAATAGCAAAGGAACTGGTGGGCCAAAATGGTGCTAATCATGATCACCCAACTTTGCCCAATTAGAAAAGATGGCGTTGTTAAGGAAAACAGTAAACCAGAGGTGGGCTTTGCTGCTTTGACATTTCTAGGCTAGAGGTGGACAGTGAGCGAAGAGTGTAAACATTATTTAAATGATTGTACAAAGGCAGAACAGAGTGCTCTGAAACAAGTAGTTCTTTGTGAAATAGGACAGATTTCTTTCCCGTGTGTCTCTTTTTATGAATTAAGTATGTAAATAATTTCTATAATGTTAAAATGTACTTCTGTGTTTGTGAGATTTAGAATAAATTTTTCTTCTTTGCATTTTCCTGTTTTAGAATTGTTTATAGTGGTGTGTGTGAGAGAGAGAGTGTGTGAAAGAAAATGAAAGAGAACAATAAAGCCATAAAAGAAGCATTTTCAGAAAATGACAGAGAGGCCAGTGTGATGGCTCAGTTGGTTAATCCTCTGCCTGCCAGTGCCAGCATCTTACATCAGCACTGGTTTGTGTTCCAGCTGTTCCACTTCCCATTCAGCTCCCTATTTGTTGTCTGGGAAAGCAGTGGCGGACAGCCCAAAAGCCTTGGGACCCTGCACTTGTGTGGGAGACCCACAGGAGTCTTCTGGCTTCAGATTTGCTAAGTTCTGGCTGTCATGGGCATTTAGGGGAGTGAACCATAGATGGAAGATCTTTCTCACTGTCTCTCCTCTATGTACATCTGCCTTTCCAATAAAAATAAATAAATATTTTGACAAAAAAGAGGAGGAAATGTTGAACTTAACTAACTTTAGCTGTACTGTCTGACAACACATGAACTTATCCATTTTAATGGCTTTAAAATTAGTGGAATGGACCTTTTTTTTTCTTTATAAACATTTTTTGTTTGAAAGGCAGAATTACATGGATAGGGGATATACAGAGGGAGATCCTTCATCCACGGGATCACTCCGCAAATGGCTGTGATAGTGGAGCAGGGCCAGTCCACAGCCAGGAGCCAAGAGCCTCTGCTGGGTCTCCTATATGGCCGCAGGGCCCCCACTCTGCTGCTTTGAGACCTGCGTATGCCATTGGTTGCTGATGCTCAATCTGAGATTTTCCACCTCCAGTCTCAACGTTTGCCAGCAAGTGCTACAGCCTGGCTCAGCCTAGCCTACCCCCAGTCCTAGCTCTCTCTGATGGATGCATCAGCCTAGCTCCAGTCCTCATGTGAGGTGGCAAGTGTTGTGGTCCAACATATCCTGGCCTGCAGCTCATTGTGGCTGTTACTTCTGCCAGTGTGTGCTGTGGACTGGTCCAGCCCTGCATGGCCCCAGACCCAGCTTACATGTAGGCTAATGGGTGCTGCAGCCCTGCCTGGTCTGCCCTGTCCCCAGCCCTAACCCTTGTGCTTACCAGTGGGAGTTACAGGCCAGCAGTTGAGTTTCCTGAATTCCCTTACCAGGCCTGCCCCAAGCCCCAGATCTCACATGTGCTAGTGAGTGCTATGGCCCAGCCTGAAATGGCCTACCGGGCCAGGGTGATAAGTCCAGGCCCAGTGTCCACCTTCCCCACATATCTTTTATTATTATTATTATTAATTACATTGCATTATGTGACACAGTTTTATAGGTACTGGGATTCCCCTCATCCCTCCCCAAACCCTCCCCCCATGGTGGATTCCTCCACCTTGCTGCATTGCCACAGTTCAAGTTCAGTTGAGATTCTTTCATTGCAAGCATATACCAAGCATAGAATCCAGTATCTTATTGCCCAGATAGGTTCAACGGCTTCTTGAGGAAACCATCTCTGGTCTGAAGGTAGAGCCAGCAGAGTATCATCCCGATCAATTAAAAGCCCCAACATAACATCAGCAACAATTTATAACGTTATGGAATTAGTGGACATAGTATTGAGTAACCAATATGTTAAAAAGAATGCAAGTTCTTAACCACATCCTGTGACTTCTTCATTGACATTTTGATTTTAGTTTATATACAGCCGGATTCTATACACCTTAAAATGGCTATGGATTACTACCCACATATCTTAAAAATAAGTAAATAAAGAATAGGCAACTATGCTGGCACATTAGTATAGTTAACCTAAGGTTATCATTAACCAGGCCCAGAATGCCTGCCAGTGATTGGTTGCTTTTCTCCCAGCAGTTTAACACTTGCCTAGGTATAAGGCAAACTAGGCAGTTGCCTATAGCTGGGGATTCCTATTTAGAAAAGACCAGGGAGTTGTAGGAGAAAAATATGCTGTCAGCCAGTAAGCCTTTCCTCACTGATGTTTTTGTCCTCTTGCTGTAAAAAGTTAGAAAGTGATTATTTTCATTTACAAATGTTTAATCTGTATTTCAGCGGACTCTTTTGAAACCATGCTGAAGTCATTATTGAGGTATCAGTCAAGTGGTGAGAGTGTGAGCGAAATCCACATGAGGAAAAAATTGTATGAAAATGGGGTGACTACTTCTCTACAGAGTAATTTTACTCTTCTGCTAAAGGTAAGGTGATCAGTAGTTTAGTACATGATCCACAATTTATGTAATAATGTATTTTTAAAATTATTAATGTGTCCTGTGTTTGCTCCTCTTTTCTTAGCTTTTAAGCTAATTTTTATTGTGAAATTTCAACGCAAATGTACACAAAGATATATATATACGCAAGAAAGCAAAAATAGTAACATGGAGACTCGTTGTATTCATTGCAATAACTGGACTGTAGAGAACCCAGAGTTTTCTATTGGTTGGTTTTAATTTTGTTTTTAGGCCACACTCTGGGCCTAAATTTTGTGAAGCATGATTTAAGCTCACCTATAATCTCTGCTTCTGGTTAAAAATGCAGCTTATTGAGCCTTTGCTTCGAAGCACTGAGTCACTGAGATGGGTGCCTGACATTTCTAAGAAGTTCCACAAATCATTTGCTGGGTTGGAGGAAAACATTGCTGATGATGCCTTCTCATTTTGTCCCTAAAGATCCTTCGTGAGCCCAGTATACTACTTCACATTCTCTGGCCCCACAAGACTATCCCAAACCATTATCCTTTTTGTTTTTGTTTTTTTTAAAGAACTGCTAATTTATTTGAAAGGCAAGGTAACAAAAAAGAAAGAAGGGAGATATGAAGAAAGATTTCTGATCTGCTTGTTCATTCTCTAAAAGGCTGTAATGCCAAGATTAAGCTGGACTGATGCTACAAGCCAGGCCTTCCACATGGATACAGGGAACCAAACATAGGGGCCATCCTTTGCTGCTTTCCCAGGCTATTAATATGGAACTTGGTAAGAAGTGGAGCAGGTAGGACTCTTAACCAGTACTCATATGGCATGCTGCTGTCGGTGTTTCAGGCAGTGGCTTCAGCCGTTCCTCCACAATGCCACCCCCAAACTCCTCATCCTCATCTGGTATTGCCAGTCTTCCACAAACCATTTGTTTCCTGTAAATGTCCTTCCCTCCTCCTTATGTGTGAATTCCTTGTTTCCTGCTTCCCCACCAACAAATTCTGCCAATCTCAGTCCTTTGTCTTTTCTCTTGATTTTAGGTCTTAAAAAATCTTTGCATCTGTCCGAAGCATTTACTCTATCCATATATGCCCTTTAAAATAACCAAATTTTTAAAAATATATTGTTGTCATAGAGAACATAGGAAGTCTGTCTAAAATAAGCCACCCATAATTTTACTGTAAACAGGGATCTTTAATGAGTTAATTGAAAGTGCATGTTGTAAAAGAATGCATAGATTCCAAAAACACTTTTTGCACCAAAATAAACTTTTAAAAGTACTTATTGGAAAGGCAGAATTTAAGAGCAGAAATGAGAGAGAGAAATTTTTCCATTGGCTCACCCTCCAAGCAGCTGTAATGGCTGGGACTGGGCAGGCTGAAGCCAGAAGCCTGAAATTCCATCTAGGTTTCCCACATGGGTGGCAGGGATGCAAGTACACTGATCTTGTTTTGCTGCTTTCCCAGGCACAGTAGCAGAGAGCTGAACCAAAAGTGGAGCACTCAGGTCTAAACCAGCACTCATATGGGGAGGTCAGCATTGCAGATAACCCTCTGTGCCATTGTGCAGGCTTCGTAAGCTTGCCTTTTAATCCCATTTTCCCATGAACTTTTTGAAGACCCCTCATATAAACTGAGATCACACTGCATGTATGATTTTATTTATTATATTTATTTTAATTGAGAGGTGGAGAGAGACTGCACTGTACTCCCCACATGTTCATAATGCCTGGGCCTGTGCCAGACTCGAGCCGGGAGCCAAGAACTTAATCCAGGATTCCCATGTGCAGGGTAGTGATCCAGCTCCTTGCGCTGCCATCTGCTGCTTCCCAGCCTTGCCTAACTTCTACTCTAGCCTCTGATGTGTGTTTTCCTTATGTGCCTTCTGTAAAATACTGTGGCAACCTACACACAATACAATTAAATTGGTTTTCTTCTCTGTGTCCCCGTTTTAGATTGTGTTTTTCTTCCGTTTCCTTTCATCTGTGTACTTAAAGCTGTTTATTATAGTTTGAATATGGCTTCTTGAGAAATAACATTATTAATTGTATTTATATAGTGCTTGCCCAGAAGAGACTTTGAATTTTGTTCATTTGTAGATTAAAGGATTATTTATTTGTAAGGGAAGAGTCATGGCCAGATCTTCCATTTCTTTGTTCACTCCCTGAATTCCTACAGTAGTCAGACCTGAACTATGCCATAGCCAGGAGAAGAGAAGTCCATCCGAGCCACACACATGAGTGTTGGGAAACCAAGTACTTGAGCCATTACCTGCAGCTTCTAGCAGGGGGCTAGAGCAGAAGCAGAGCTGGGACTTGATCACACACGCAGATATGGGACACTGGCAGCTGAAGCTTGTGGCTTAACCTGCTGTGTCTCGAGTCACTGTATTATATCACTATCTCTTGGTAGTGTTTTAGTGTTGACATGAGCCCTTGCATGTTACTTGACCTTTGTCAGCTTTTATTTCCTGTAATGTAGGTTAAGGATAATAACCACATTACAGATTTGTTGTGAAGATCGTTAGATATTGATGTAAAAAACTCTTCACGGGAACTAGAATGGTGACTATTCAAAAATGTTGTCTGCTTAACCTCCGATCCAGCTCCCTGGTGATGCCCCTGGAAAAGAAGCAGAGGATGACCCAAGTGTTAGGGCTCCTGCCACTGACATGGAAGACGAGGATAAAGCTCCTGGCTCTTGGCTTTAGCCTGGGCCATCACTGGCTTGTGACACTCCAACCAGCGTGTTGACAGGGGATTCCACATTTGCAAGTGGCAGCTTAACATGCTCTATCACAATGCCAGTTCCTAATTAAAAAAAAAAATTTTTTTTGTAAAGTCAGATTTACAGAGACAAGGAGAGACAGAAAATCTTCAATCCACTGGTTCACTCCTCAAGTGGCTGCAGCAGTTGACCAGAGCTGAGCTGATCCGAAGCCTGGAGCCAGGAGTTTCTTCTGGGTCTCCCACGTGGGTGCCATGTACCAAGGCTTTGGGCCATCCTCTACTGCTTTCTCAGACCACAAGCAGGGAGCTGGATGGGAAGTCAGGATATGAACTTGTCCCTATATGGGATCCCAGCATATGCAAGGTGAGCACTTTAGTCACTAGGCTATTGCACTGGCCCAGTTCCTAATTTCTTTAATGTTTAAATTAATATGTCTTTCTTTGTGTGTTTTAAAAGCAAAGTGATAAAAGAAAAGGAAGAGATCTTGCAACTTCTGATTTACTCTCCAAATGACCGTAATGACAATGGGCTCATCCAGGTGGAAGCTAGCAGCCTAGATAAAGTTCTAGGATGACCAGGGGCCTTGGATCACCATCTGCTGCCTTCCCAGGTGCATTGCCAGAATGCTGGATCAGAATCAGAACGAGCAGAACTCAAACTGCACTCTGGTTAGGGATGCTGGTGTCGTAGCCAGCGTCTTAACTCACTGTACTATAGTGCTGGCCCCTTCCTTAACCATTTATCACAGGCTGTTTTCTAAACTTACAGTCTTTTTATTGTAGTTTTATATTCCATTCTTTTTCCTCTCCTGTAAAAAGCTTTACGGGATAAAAAATTGTTTCCCAGATTATGTGTATGTTTTTTGCCATCATGTTTTCAGGTTTTGCCTCCTTGACTGGGTCATTGTGTGATAAATTTGTTTTAGGTTTATATCGTCAGTATTACAGCATAAGCCAGGTACCTAACTTCAGAGTTACTTAGACACAGTCGTTAAATAATTAATTAGTAATAACATTACTGAAACATGATGCTGTCGGGGAACCCTTCTCCTCCCTACCTGATTTCCTTAAGGTCGATTAGAGTAGTATTGTTTACCAGAGCATGCAACTTTATGAGTTGTGTGCTGAGACTGGCATTGTGGCTCAGCTGGTAAAGCCACTTCGTGTGGTGCTGGCATCCTATGTGGACACTCCACTTCTGATCCATCTTCCTGTTAATGGTTTGGGCAAAGCAGTGGAAGGTGACCTAAGCACTTAGGCCCCTGCATCTGTGTGGGAGACTTCAGCCTGGTTCAACCCTGGCCCTGGTGGACATTTGGGGAGTAAACCAGCTGATGAAAGGTGTGCCTCTGACTCTCCCTCTCTGTAACTCTGCCTTTCATATAACAAATAGATCTTACACACACCAAGTAAGTTGTATGCCTCACTGCCCGTAATAAACTTTTTGGCTTTTGGGTTTTGTTTTTTAGCAGATCTGCATTCTGTGTTCTATCTAGTCCTCTAATGCCTCTAATATTCTCAACTTCATCCTGTGGGTTCTGGCTCCTTACTGCTCTGACCACCTTTGCTTCAAGGCCTGAACCTCCACTTTAAACTGTGAGTGTAATTTCTTTTTTCTATGTGTGTCAGTTTAATATTTTCCTGTGATTTAAGGCTAAACACTATCTAAACCATGTGTTTCTAAATTTTAGAATCCATAGTTGTTTTCCAAAATCTGCTTAATTGACAGCTTGGTAGTAATGCTGATGGTCAAAATCATGGAGTTAATTGGTTTGATAACTTGTATTATGGGCTCATTTAATCTTCACAAGAGCATTGTAGGTAGATATTATTTTCTCTTTTACAGATGAAGAAAATGGTTCAGTAGCTTGTCCAAGGTCAGACAGTTGATAAGTGAACGGTAATGTGGTTAGAATTTGACCCCAGTAGATCAGATTCAAGAGTTTATACACTGAGCACAAAGCTATGCTGCCTCTTCATACCTTAATTCTGCTTCCCTGCAGTATACTTTGGCTTGGCTGAGTTTTTAAGCAAATCTTTTAGTATCTGAATATAAGCTGGAATTTTAAAAAAATCATTTCACTGACATTTTAATAATTTTATAATAATTACTGTGATTACCTGAAAACTTTTTTCAAAACAGACTTTGTATTCTTTCTTTTTATGTGGCATAAATTTAAAATCTCAAATATTGCTTTGTAGATGTCTTTGTAATTTTGACTTTTGTTTTTCTGTTATAAAATTAGGTGGTAGTTGAAATTAGCATGGTATTTTAATG